CATTTTCTGAGAAACAGCCACACTGATTTCCAAAGTTGCTATACAAGTTTGTACTCCCACCAGCAATGGAGGAGTGTTCCCCTGACTCTGCATCCTCTCCAGCATAAGCTATCTTTGAGTTTTTGATCTTAGCCATTCTGACTGGTGTAAGATGGTATCTCAGAGTCATTCTTATTTGCATTTCCCCAATGGCTAAGAATGTTGAACATTTCCTTAAGTGTCTTTTGGCCATTTGAGATCCTTCTGTTGAGAATTCTCTGTTTAGATCTGTACCCCATTTTTAATTAGAGTATTTGGTATATTGATGTCTAGTGTTTCAAGTTCTTTATATATTTTGGAGTTCAGTCCTCTTTGTGGTGTGTGGTTGGTGAAGATCTTTTCCCATTTATTAAGGTTCCTTTTTGTCTTATTGACTGTGTCCTTTGCTTTCTGAAGCTTTTCAGTTTCAGAAAGTTCCATGTATTTATTGTTCAGTGTCTGTGCTACTGGTATTACATTTAGAAAGTGGTTTCCTGTAACATGAGGGCCTGCTTGCTGGGGTTTCTGTCCTGCCTGGTTCTCGCAGTCATTATGTCCCAAAGAAAAATCATACCGAGTTCTACATTAGATATAAACTGATTGGCCCATTAGCTCAGGCTTCTTGCTAACTCTTATAACTTATATTAGCCCATTATTATAGTATATGTTAGCCACATGGCTCAGTACCTCTTTCAGCGGGGCAGGGTCACATCTTCCTTTTTCCATGTCTGGGCAGGACTGGGGACGGAGCTTCCTCTTTCCCACAATTCTCCTGTTTTTGATCTGCCTCTTCTTCCTGTCTCGTTTCCTACCTATACTTCCTACCTGGCTACTGACCAATGATCATTTATTTAAAATATAATTGACAGAATACAGACCATTGTCCTACACCAGTTTCCTGTGCACATGCATTGAAAGCTTCTTTCCACTTTCTTTTCTATGAGATAGTGAATGGTTTTAATTGTGAGTTAGGCTTCACTTAGTGAAAATTAGTGATCTTGAACACCAGTGAGAAGAGGATATCCAATAAGAAGCAGGACAGAAAATAAAAACTGATGATAGTAGAATATGGGGCAGATTATGCAATGAGGCACTCTTACAGATACATCATTGAACTTTAATTTGAGAGAATGAGACAGAATTTAAATTAATAGTGCACGAACATTTTCTAAAGTGTCTAAAGATACAATGCCACAGAACCAAAAGTTGTACAAATACCAAGTAAGCAAAATACAAAGAAAATTACTATTTCAGTAAGATTGGCTGTTTTTTGTTTTGTTTTGTTTGATTGGTTTTTTGAAACAGGATGTTTTAGTTAGGGTTTCTATTGCTATGAAAGGACACCATGACTGTGGCAACTCTTATAAAGGGGAACATTTAATTGAAGTGACTGCTTACAGTTTAGAGGTTCAGTCCATTATCATCATGGGAGGGAGGATGGTGGCGTGTAGGCAGACATGGTGCTGGCTGGCTACATCTTGATCAGAAGGCAACAGTAAGGTCTGTGACACAGGGAGTAGCTTGAGCATAGGAAACCTTAAAGCCCACTCGCACAGTGCTGCACTTCACAGAGCCAGGCCACACTTACTCCAACAAAGCCATGCTTCCTAACAGAGCAACTCTTTTTGGAGGCCATTTTCTTTCAAACTACTACCCAAGGTTTTTCTCTTTATCCCTGGCTGTCCTGGAGCCTGTTTTGTAGACCAGGCTGGCCTTGAACTCAAGAGATGTGCCTTCCTCTTCCTTCTAGAAGCTATAACAAAAGTAAAGGCATGTGCCACCACACCTAGCTGTCCATTAAGTTTGTTAAATACCATAGTTAGTGAGAAAGAATGTTTATTCCTTAAAGAAGCAACAGATCAAAAGGTAACAATGGGAAAAATTGATGAAGGGTAACATATGGAATAAAATAATAATTGGGGATAATGTATTCATATCCCCAGAGTGCTGAAATTATGTAAGTGCTAGAATATGTTCCAAGAATGAAAAGAAATTTAAAATACTTTTAGTTAGAGGGATCATTAAGATGACTGAGTAGGTAAACTTAAAAAAGCATCACATTTAAGGGAAAGAATTATATCAATAGGTAGGATTTGTGCAAATAAAATTTAATTGTAGTTTCAAAAGCCTTTAACTGAACTTTTTTCTTATTTTTCTGTTTTGAAATATTTTGGTATTTTACTTTTTAGATGATAATTTAATTTTTTGAGAAGTTCATAAATGTATTTTATCATATACACTTTTCATTCATCCAAAAACTTCTTCTAGACTTACCTCCTTCTCCTCTATACCCACCTCTATTTTGTGCTCTCTACTCTTCCTTAGAAAGTGATATATAGCAGTAAATGCCATGGTCCTTTGACTGGTTATAGTCCTTCTACCCCATTTTCCATGATGTTCTGAGTCTGAGTATAGGAATTGTATTGTAAATATATTAATTAGTGTTGGACACACTATGGTAAGTTAGTTGTTCTCCGAATTTTGACTAGTTGTGACTTTCAGTAATAGTCTCCATCTTCAAATAAAAGGTTTTTTTTAATTTTTTTAATTTTGTTGAGCAAGAGGTGAGACTACACTTATCTGTAGTTCTAAGGATAAGTATTTAGAATGCAATTAGAGGCTATACTAGGAAGTCAGTCATAGTAGATTGTTCTCTACGATACATGACCTTATCAGCCATGGGTAGTTTGCTGAGTTTACAATATAAGCCATGAATTTCCACATATTGAGCAAACCTTAAGTTCAATTGTATGGCCATTGTTTACACCTAGGATGTAAGGGCCACTATTTCACCTTTCAGAATATCTTAAAATTCTTGTCATTGTTTTTCACAGGCATTACAGCTGGTTAGTACTATTGATTACTTTCTCCTGTGGCCGCTCATATATCTCCTTCCAGAACTATGAGAACTAGTTCTCAAGGAGGGGACTTCCATGTTAGATTACAACTGATTCCTCTGAATCCTGTGTCTTAAGTGTTTAGTGTCTTTAGTAGTAGGGTTTTACCTCCCTTTTCTGGAAGGCAGTGAAGTGTTTCAGCAGTAGCCTATATTGTTTGGGGTCTCTTGAACCCATCTTCCAATAGTTCAAAAGGAGTTTTTCTATGCCTGGTACCAAGTTTTTTTCCCCTTCTTTTTGTTTATTCTTTATGTCTTTTATATCATGCATCTTATCCCAGTCATTTCCCTGTCCCTTTGTATCCACCCTTTGTTTTTGCAACCTCCCCCCCCCAAAATAAAACAATATTTAAGAGAAAAAAGGGGAAAAAAGAAATATCTCATCCTGGAAACTATAGTGTCACACACACAGTCACACAGTAAATCCTTTTGTCCATGTATCTTTACCAGCAAGTGCTCATTGCAGAGCCATTGGTCTGGTTGGAGGCCTCTGGTTTCTGCTATACTGTCAATGCTGGGCCCTCACTGTACCTCCTCCTGACTATCTTATTGTTACCCTGTGGAGATCCTGCAGCTTTGGATCTGTAGGACTGGCCTCTTCAGTTGCTCCTGCAGATCATGGATAAGGTGGATATTGGGGTGGGCTAGTCCTCACCACCATGAGGAGCTCTCCAGCATTGCCCTGGCTAGTTCATCCCTTGCGGTGATGAGCAAGGGTCTTGGCCAGTTCTCATGCTTTTCACACTCTCAGGGTTGGCTCTCCCACACTTAAACCATCAGGGCCAGTGCCACTGTGTTGCCAAGACAAGGTGTAAGGGCCAGTCTCCTGAGTGCTGTAGCTGATGATAGGGAGGAACAGCTCTCCAGTTCTTATAACCTCAGGGCAGGCTCTCACACCTGCCTCAGGCATGTTGGGGTAGGGGGCATCTGTCCCCTGCCCATACTTCCATATGGAAGATGAGGGGCAGAGACTGATCTCTCACGCTCATGTTTTTGGGACCAGCTTACCTGCATGTGGTAGTCCCCTGTCTCCCCTCACCCCCTCCATCAACAGGATCAGCTCTGTTGTACTGTCCAGTTGAGGTGCAGGTCCCACTTTCCTGAGTGTTGTAGCTGTTAAAGGGGAAGGTCAGCTCCCTTGCCCACTAGAGGCAGTAGGGGAAAGTGGGGAGAGCGTCTTTTACTCAGCCCCACCACTACACCACAGGCAAGGGAAGTGATACTACTAGTTATCCCCCTCTCATGCCCTCAGGGTTGGCTCATCCATGCCCCTGCCTACAGAGTCAACTCTGTTGTACTGCCCAGATGAAGTGTAGGACCCTCTATCCTGTGTGCTTCAGCTGGTGAAGGGCAGGGCTGGTTCCCCCTAGAGATGCAGCCAGTGAGGGGTGAGGCCAGCTCTATACAGCCCTATCTTCTCAGCCCCCAATGGTATCAGGAGCCATGGGCATGAACACAGACTGAGACTGCATCAGGGCCAAGAACTCAGATGTGGGCCCTAGCAGCAGCCCAGACCCAGATATCACCATGGCCCTGGGTGCCAATTAATCCACTCACCTCCCTCACTATCCAGCTTTCAAATAAGCTCCTGTCCACAAGACATGAACCATTCTGTCCGACTGCCCCCCTCCCACAGACCACACCATACATTTTCTCAGCATAACAGTGCCTTTCTGTATGGAACTATAGGGGACCATGTGGGCCTGTGTTTTCTCCTTGGAGTTTGGAGTGTGGGTCTTTTTGTTCTACTTAGTCCATCATAGTGCTAGGGGCACCAGGGTTTTTGTTTGATAGTCTATGGTTTTTTGTGGAAGTACTGTCACCCCAAAGGGTATGTATGCATGTGTGTGTTCGTATATAATGTGTATTTGTAGACAAGATTTTACATTTTATGCAACATCAAGTGAACATAATATAATTTCCATAGAAGTGCTACTCCTGACTCTAGGCTTTTAGGATTGTTATCACCTAGAGATGATGGCAGACAAGATGGCTACACAAAAGATTATTTGCAGTCATCTTGTAAATTATAAAAGGTTTAAGTAACTTAACGTTTGTTCATGAGAAATTGTACTCATTTTTATAGAGAAGAATGGACAGAAGCTATCCAAGCTGTAGCAGACCGACTGCAGAGACAAGAAGAGGAGAGAATGAATTGTAGTCCAACTTCACAGATTGATAATATAGGAGAAGAAGAGATGGATGCATCTACAACCCATCATAAAAGAAAGGTAGAAAATGATGATGACTTATTTTAACTTCTAAATACAGTCTTTATTTATCTAGAAAAACTATGATGAAAACTGCTTCTGAAAGAGGTGTTAGTTTTCTTATTGTATGTATAACTTTGTGAACCTAAAATACCTGTTCCTTAAAACCCAATAATGTGCCAGCACTGCAGTGTGAGTGCTTGCGGAGCTTGCGAAGGAGTGGTGATTGATGTACTTTATAGATGACATCTCAGAAACCAGGGAATTAAATGTCTGCCCCTTGAATTCAACTTCATCAAAGCTACCTCAAAAAGTGAGTCTTAGAAATAACACATTTTCTTTTCATTACTACTCATGAGCCAATAAAGGAGGAAAACCACAACTTTTCTTTCCTCAGTGTTCCATATTAGTATATAATTTTATAGGAATTGTAAATAATATTTTTTATTACTATGAAAATTTAAAAATGACTATTTTTTAAAATATGGTATTCAAAACTAGTCTAATGTGATTATTTGAAAATTCAAACATATATGGAAGAATGGACTGAAGCTATCTAATCTGTAGTTGATGGCCTTTATAGTAGACTGATGAAATGTCATTTGCATGTATATCTTAAATATACACTTGCTGTTTATTTTATAAATCATATTCAGGTGTGAAAAATGCTCAAAGTGAAAACATTTTTCACTTGTTTAATTAATTAGTTAATTAATTTTTCAGTATTGGCATTTTGAACTATGGGTTATGCAAATGTTTCTCTACTACTGAACTCTGCCATTTGTTGTTAGTATGGTGTGCAGAATTGCCTTTCATGTTAGATTTCCTTGGTTCAAATCTTTTCGCTTCCACATGCTTTGAACTTAAGAGAAATGATAAAGTCACAACTTAGAGAATTAATTCACTATGTAAAGTTTTTTCTTTAACATTCTGTACTTGATGCCTGTGAACTTTTTCAGTCTTTTTATTTTTAATTTTCTTCCATTTTGTTTTATATGCAAAATATGGATATTTTGCTTTCAAGTGTATCTGTGCACCAAGTGTGTGCAGTGCTCAGGGAGTTGAGAAGAGGGGAATTATAACTTCTAGAACTGTAGTTAGACACAGTTCTAACTACAGGTTTTTTACTAGAAGTACAGCCTGTGTGCTGAACTGGTCTGTCACCTCTAATATGCCCCCTTTCTGTCCTTTATATAGACAGACCCTCTCTATGTGGTTGTTGATTTGAAATAGTGCTTATTTTAAGTTGATTTCTCAGTCAGGAATATGAACATAACTTATCTTTACCCATTTATTCCAATGAGAAATTTCCTTTTGCACAGATGTTTATAACTTGAAGTTTGACTGCATTAATAATTTTGAATCAGGTTCCAATTAATCTCATCCTTTGAATTTTAGACAACTGCATTAAAAAGCAAGTTATACCTGCCCTACCCTGTTTAATTTTCTGGAATTCTAAATATATGCTTAACAGATCAGTAAGATACTGAAAGACCTGAAAATGTCATAAAGCTATTTATAAATTATTGTTCTATTTTTGTCTTCAAGAATTGGGGATAACAATAATATTTAGTAATTGTGTATATTAGTATCTTTTTTAGTGCTTTTAGATGAAAAATAAAGAAGGTACTACATGCCATGTTGAGCAATATAATCAATTTTTGGCCTGGTTATGAGTCTTTTTACCTATTTATTGCCACGAAATTGCCAGAAACAATAGCTGTGTTCTTTCTTATGGTTTTGTTGCTGGGTGGGCTGTTCTGCTGTTCCAATAAATTATTTTTGGCTGCTCATGTACTGGCCTTGAAAAACCCAAAGGAAACTTTCTGTTATGTCCCAGGGTTTGGTGTTGACTTTTGGCCTTTGTTATTTTCATGGTTTCTGCAGCTTCTCTGTGCATGTGGTATCTTATCTTCCAGGGTCTTAGTACATAGTCTTTCCTCCAACAAGCTAACCTCAGCTTCCACATCGAAGGAAAGCTAACAAGGGCCTTTGAGGTTCAGCCTCAGTGCCCTCAGGATTCAGAGAGGATGCTAGAGCAAGCAAGGGCTAGAGATCTGAGGACAAAAATGAGTCTCTCATTCCATGCTTCTTCGTGCCAGTTTCTTTTTTTATTGTCTTGCTTCTATCCTAATACTCCCATCGTACTTCTAACTTCTCCTTGCTTTCTCTCCTTCTTATCTCAAAACACTCTTTTTCCCAGGAGTCTTGAAGTGATGAAAAAAATGCAATAGTTGTCTTTCTTTGATCAATAGCACATTCCTAGAGCAAGTGATAACACAAGGATCCAAGGTTATAGGATTAAGACTATGACCAGAGGGTGGGCTGTACAGTGCCCTTTTAGATATGCTTTGAGACATAGGTCTTTTGTCAGTCAACAGGTAAGCCAAGAATTGACATGCTTTTCTTAGTAACCTTAGATGGACATTTGTGGCCCTGACCTTGTGCATAGCTGTAAGGTTCCAAACTTATGATCTATTTCCAAAAGCCCTTAGTCTAGTTTGAACTTGCTCTGAGGTAAAAGAGAGCTAATTGTGTGCAGTTCGCCTGAACAAAAGAACAAGGCAGGCTTTTAAGTGTCCATAGTCCTTGTGGGACAAATAGATCTAGTTATGACGCATGTTCTTCTATATATCAAAATTATACAGCCAAATGAAAAGTCATCTTCCTGGCCACCCATAGATATATACACCCAGTAGATGAGATATTTTCATGAGATAGACAGAAAAGCAGTGGGAAAACACCTGAAGTTATTCTTAGGGAAGAAATGAAGTTCTTAGGTAAGCAATCAAGTGACTCATACAATAAATTACAGACAGGAACAACTGTTTTCCACAACTAGTAAATCCATGGCCTTTCCAGGTGGGGCTCCCTATCATTAAATCTCTCACTGCTAGTGCCTCCTGTTGAACACTAGTTATCACCTGCTTCATTTCTCATGGCCCCTGACAGAAAGCTGTCTCTTGAGAGTTTCTGTGAGAAAAAAGAATGAAGTGCCATAGGGTGGCTTTGGAACTGATCAAAGACAGTTTAAGAAGCCATGAATTTGAAAGAGAGCAGGAAGATGTACAGAGGGGCTGGAAAGAGGAAGGGGAATGGGAAAATTGTGTACTTACATACTATTAAAAATGCCAATCAGACAGAAGGAGAGTCAGGGAGGGAGAAAGGAAGAAGAAGGGGTTGGAGGTGGCAAAGAGACAGTGTTGCTTGATGGGAACAAGATAGTCATATGTGGGGTCTATTGCTTTGCTTCTTATCCTCTGAGTTTTTAAAACTGTTAGTGAAATTAATATGTCAAGCTATCTATTATTTTTAAATGACTGAATTTGATACTATTTTCCTTTTATGTGCAGCTTCATTTGATTTATAATTGAATCAATAAGTATATGTTATTTTCCTGCTCTCTTTTTGACATTTATATTTTCCTTTGAACTATTCATATTAAGACATTGTAATTTGACATTTGGATAAAATTATCAAAGTTATAGGCAAGTTATATTAAAATTGAATGTAGCCATTCACTTATGAAATATTTAAAACGATTTTTAATGTCAGAGTGCTTTCTGGCTTCAAGGAGTGAATTGAAAAATATTTCTCCCATTTTAGTTCTCAGGAAGAGTTTGTGTAGGATTGGTACCATTTTTTTCTTTAAATGTTGTGGACTTTTCCTTAGTATAAAAAATGTTAAGAGAAATTCAGTTCTTATATAGGGTTCTTTAGCTTTTCCGTTCCTTTGTCAGTGAGCTTTTGTAGTTTGCAGTGTGAGTCATTTGCTCATTTCATTTTGGTGTTATTTTGCTGGTATAAAGCTGTTTATTATCTTAATTAAGGTCACTTTCATCTCTGTAGGTTTTGTAGTGATGTCACCTTTATCATTTCATAAAGATAATTTTATCTTTGTGTTTATCTTCCTGATCAATCTGACTGGAGATTACAGTTTTTATTGCTCTTTTCTCCTGCTTCTTCAAAAATGTTTTTTACTTCTATTTTAAAATGTTTATTTGTATATTCTTGGATATCACTTTTTTCTGAGGTAGCACTTAATTTAAAACATGAGAACTTGAAAATAATTTTTAAAAACCTTACTTTACTTTTAAAAACATTCTGTCAGTTAACTAATACTTTGACTGATGGAGAAATTCTAGGTTCAAAATAACTTCTACAAACGATGAGAACTATGTTAATTATTTTCAGTATCCAAGGTTGTTCAAGAGACAACCAGTAGTAAGGTTTTTTTTTGTTTGAAATTGCTCTAGAAATTAGTAGGATCAATATTGAGTTTACATTGCAAGTATTGCAAGCAGAATAACAGTAAATTATGCCAACTATTTCATCATAGTTTTCTAATTTATATTTTTCAGACGATGAATGATTTTGACTATTTGAAGCTACTAGGTAAAGGCACTTTTGGGAAGGTTATTTTAGTTCGAGAGAAGGCAAGTGGAAAATACTATGCTATGAAGATTCTGAAGAAAGAAGTCATTATTGCAAAGGTAACTGCGTCGAAAAGCCAGTGATTAATTTTTTTTTAGTATGCACATGTATCTGTGCACATTCTTGTAAATGGTATAGAGATTTCATGAAGCAATGAAATATTGAGTATAAACTATTACTTGCAGTAATACCTATGAGCAGACAAAATTATTAATTTAAATTTTTTAGCAGTGTATAATATTATATAAATTATGGTGAACCTGTCTTACTCCATTGAGCAAATATTTTTAATTTGGAGGAATCTTTTAGGTATATATTTGTGATCCATATCACTAATTATGTTAGTGTTTTCACCATTTTTCCAGAATATATATGTACCATATCAATTCAATATTCATTCATCGGGTGAAGGACATATAGGTAGTTTTTATTTCCTAGCTATTATGTATAGAGCAGCAATGAATATGGCTGAGCAGGATCTGTGGAGTGGGCTGTTGAGTCCTTTGGGCATATGCCAACAAGTGGTACATATGGGCCATATGGTAGGTTTATTTTTAGCTTTTTGAGGACTAATGATTTGTGGAGTAGCTAGATGAGCTTGCAGTCCACCATCAGTTCTGTGGGTTCCACTCTCCTCATAACTCTGGAGCATTTGCTGTCAGTTCCTTTGGGGATATTTGTCAGCTGATTGGTAAGATAAAATTTTAGAGTTTTTTCATTTGCGTTTCCCTTATTGCTAAAGACTAAGAACATTTTTGAGTGATTCTTTATTTTAGCTGTTTCCTACCCTTATTTTAAGAATTCTCTGTTTAGTTCTCAGATGAAAAAGAATGGGCCATTTATTTTTATACTGTTTTTGAGTTCTTTATATATTCTGGATATTAATCCTCTGTCAATTGTAGAGCTAGCAAAGACTTTCTCCAGTTTTGTGGGCCTCCTCTTCACCTGGTAGATTGTTTCTTTAGCCATGCAGAAGCTATTTAGTTTTCTGTCATCCCACTTATCATTTGCTGGCCTTTATTCTTGGGCAAAAAGAGTCCTGTTCTGAAGTCCATTTTTATACTTGTACGCTGTGAAGTATTGCCTGTTCTTTTTTCTAACAGTTTCAGTGTTTCAGGTTTCACATTTAAGCCTTTGAGCCATTTGGAGATAGTTTCTATACAAGGTGATAGATAGGGATCTAATTATATTCTTCTGCATATGGATATAAAGTTTTCTAAGCACCATTTATGAAGATGCATTCTTTCCTAGAGCATATTTGTTATAGTTTTCAAATATTAAGTGGCTGAAGTTTCATGTGTTCATTCATGTTTGAATTTTCAATCTTGTTCCAATGCTCTATATGTTTGTTTTTATGTCAGGATCATATTTTTATTACTGTGGTTCTGTATTATAGCTTAAGAGGTGTGAAATGATAATCCAGTATTGTTCTTTTCGCTCAGAGTTGTTTTGCCTATCAGAGTTTTTTTTGTGGTTTCATATGATTTTAGGGTGTTTTTTTTTTTCTGTTTCTCTGAAGAGGAGATAGAGATTTTGGTTGGAATTGAAATTAATCTCTAAGTACCTTCTTGTGGAGTAGTAATTTTCACACCATTAATTTTAACAATTCATAAGTATGGAATGTCTTTCCATTTCTGAGTGTCTTTATCTCTTTCTTGAGAGATTTCGGGTCTTCATTGCAAAGGTCCTTCACCTTTTTGATTAGGTTTATTCCTAGATCATCTATTTTCTTTTGACTTTTGTGAATGAGAGTGTATACACAACCTCTTTTCCTGTATATTTGTTGGTGGTGGTGTATAGAAAAGGTATTGATGTGTTCAGGTTGATTCTTTATCCTTTCATCATTGATCTACCTTAGTAGGCAGATTGTACGTGGCATGGGAGGAGACTGTGGTTCAGGCAGGGTGAGTTCCACCTAAAGCCTATTAGTGGGATGCTGTACAAGAGGGATGGACAGAGTAGTCCTGAGCAGTGGTTGTGGGCCTAGGCTACACCTCTAGGGGATTGGAGAAGGTGTGTTGAGGGAAGGCTGGGAACTCAGATGGGGACTCTAAAGAAGGATCTGTAGGATCTGGCTGATTTGAGACAATAGAAATAACCATTTGTTGAAATTTGAGAGAAACACTTTAGAACCTTTTAATTTCTTTCTGCCCGGTTCTATAGTAGTTTTCATTATGGATTCCATTGTAATTATAGTAATTATTTTTGCTTAGAAACATTCTGATAATGTACAAAAACTTTTTCAATAGACTTATCTTTATCCTCTCTGTTATTGCTGTCTTTACATTGCATCTTTTTATGTTGTGTGAATGTATTTATTTTTTGATAATTAGAAAAACACTGTGACATTGCAATTCAAGATTACAACTACTATAGTGTATCATTTTACACACTTGACCTATAGTAGAGGTCCTTATTTCTCATGTAGTCTCAAGTTATAATATTCTTTTATTCCCAACAGAAGGATTCAGCTTTATCATTTCTTATAATGCAGGGTTAGGGGTGCTCACTCAGTTTATGGCATATCTTAGAGACACCATAATTTGGGCTTTGTTCATTTTTTTAGCAAACTTATTATCAGCTGTGACCTTAGTTTTCCTCTGAGTACTCAACTTTGGTTTTGCGTTCTTTTCATTAATTTATTCTTTAGGTTGTTTTTATGCCCTTTGACATATTTTCATTTTTAAACTATTATATAGTCTCTATTCATTTTAGCAGTTAGGATTAGATAATAAAACATTACACAAGGTATTCATTTATTTTAATCAGAATAGCTAACTAAATAAATCCTAGTCTTATTCTTAGAGTGTTTTTATTATTGTAGTAATAAAAATAGAAATGCCCTTTGGTTATTAAGTAGTCGTTTTTGGAAAGATTTGAGTTCCAGGTATGGTGATTGATACCCCTTGTTGGATATTCTTGGAGGCCAGAACTTTTTTCATCCTCTTACACTCTTAAAGTGAAATATGTAAATATACATTTCCTGATCTATGTAGGAAAATTTATGTTTAGTTTTTTTATCCATAAAGTCAATCATGCTCTATTATTTTACCTTTTTACACATAAATGTGAAAAAACTCCTGAGCATCACCAAACAGATGAAAAACATCTGAAGATATAGAATAAACAGTAAACCACAATAGAGTTCATGCTAATGGAAACAGAACACGCAGAAGATGAGTTGTCAACCATGAATTAGTGTTTTATAGAGAGGTATTGAGTATGAAACAAAACTAGGCTTGATAAACAGAGCATAAGAATGAACAAATATGAATCTAATTATAATTATTATAGTAAAAATAAAATAATGAAAGAGAAATAGATTTAGGAGTTTGTCTGAGAATGAGAAACCAAAAATAAAGATATGGACAATATTGGGACAATAATTTTAACATGGAGTCTCATTCAAAGGAGATAGAATATCTGAGATTTTAAAGTTAAAATAATAAAGTACAAGATATAAAATTTGCCAGAATTGAAAAAGATTTTGGGTGGAAGGATCTACTGCATGCTGGCGAGTAAAGGAAGCAGCTCCCTTATCCCTAGGTCTTCATGTTCAGAGTGTTCTGAATGTCAAAGCAGTATACTTTCCAGCTGAAGAAGTGCTGAGGGCGGCAGTGGCAGGATATGGTGGCAGTCTGAGAGTATGGCACTCCATCCAGGGTGTGTTTGATTTTTTTTCTTTTTTTTTTTTATTGAGAAAAGGAAAAAAAAAAGTTTCCGCCTCCTCCCAGCCTCCCATTTCCCTCCCCCTCCTCCCACCCTTCTCCCCTTCCCCCCACTCCTCTCCCCCTCCCTCTCCAGTCCAAAGAGCAGTCCGGGTTCCCTGCCCTGTGGAAAGTCCAAGGTCCTCCCCCCCTCCATCCATGTCTAGGAAGGTGAACATCCAAACTGGCTAGGCTCCCACAAAGCCAGAACATGAAGTAGGATCAAAACCCCGTGCCATCGTCCTTGGCTTCTCATCAGCCCTCATTGTTCGCCATGTTCAGAGAGTCCGGTTTTATCCCATGCTTTTTCAGTCATAGTCCAGCTGGCCTTGGTGAGCTCCCAATAGATCAGCCCCACTGTCTCAGTGGGTGGGTGCACCCCTCGTGGTCCCGATTTCCTTGCTCATCTTCTCCCTCCTTCCACTCCTCATTGGGACCTTGGGAGCTCAGTCCAGTGCTCCAGTGTGGGTCTCTGTCTCTATCTCCATCCATCGCCAGATGAAGGTTCTATGGTGATAAGCAAGATATTCGTCAGTATTGCTATAGGATAGGGTCATTTCAGGTTCCCTATCCTCAGCTGCCCAAGGAACTAACTGGGGACATCGCCTTGGGCTCCTGGGAGCCACTCTAGGTTCAAGTCTCTTGCCAACCCTAAGGTGGCTCCCTTAACTAAGAATTGTGCTTCCGTGCTCCCCTATCCAGTCTTCCTTTATCCCAATCATCCTGTTTCCCCAAGTTCCCCCCATCCTCCCCTTCTCCCTTTTCTCTCCCCATCTCCCCTTACCCCCATCCCACCCCACCCCCAAGATCCCAATTTTCTCCCCGGCAATTTTGTCTACTTCCCATAGCCAAGAGGATAACTATTTGTTTTTCCTTGGGTTCCCCTTCTTATTTAGCTTCTTTAGGTTCACCAATTGTAGACTCCGTGACCCTTATTTATGGCTAGAAACCAATTATGAGTGAGTACATCCCATGTTCATCTTTTTGGGTCTGGGTTACCTCACTCAGTATAGTGTTTTCTATTTCTATCCATTTGCATGCAAAATTCGCGAAGTCATTGTTTTTTACCGCAGCGTAGTACTCTAATGTGTATATATTCCACACTTTCTTCATCCATTCTTCCATTGAAGGGCATCTAGGTTGTTTCCAGGTTCTGGCTATTACAAATAATACTGCTATGAACATAGTTGAACAAATGCTTTTGTCATATGATCGGGCATCTCTTGGGTATATTCCCAGGAGTGGTATTGCTGGGTCCAGGGGTAGGTTGATCGCGAATTTCCTAAGAAACACCGAAACACTGATTTCCAAAGTGGTTGCACAAGATTGCATTCCCACCAGCAATGGATGAGTGTACCCCTTCCTTCACAGCCTCTCCAGCAAAGGCTATCATTGGTGTTTTTGATTTTAGCCATTCTGACAGGTATAAGATGATATCTCAAAGTTGTTTTGATTTGCATTTCCCTGATTGCTAAGAAGTTCAAATGGCTAAAAGACACTTAAGGTCATGCTCAACCTCCTTAGCAATCAGGGTGTGTTTGAAACAGAAGCATCTATTTTAAATACCACACATATTACTTGAGAATGGTAATGCTTGTTCATGGATAACCTTTGTCCCCTTTGAAATAGATATCAGCATCTTCAGCAGACAAAATAATGAATAATGATAAAGCGAATAGAGAGGAATGAAATTTTAGAAAGTCGAATCTAGTCCAGTGCTCAAACTTTAAGATGATTTAGAGCTTGATACGTATGACATGTCTCATAAAAAGCCATCAGAAAAGTAGACAAGGTTGCTAATGAGACAGTGAGCCAAGTAAACAGTGATCCTTGGAAGTTACTGTGGTTTAATTAAAAGAGTATCCCTTCTGCTATTATGTCTAATACTCACTTCATCTTTTCATTTACTTCTCTGGAGGGAAGAAGGAAGTAAATGTTTTCAGATACAGTGTATTCTGATGTCAGAGTCAATCACAGGAGAACTATTGCCAGAATAAAGAAAATAATGTGATTAGAAGAAGGATCTGGTTAAGGAGGTATTCAGATATTTGAAGATAGGAGGAAGTGGAAGTAGAACTGAGCATTACAATTGGAGATAGAGATGGATTAATACTCCATCTGTACTTGAGAAATTATGTTCTGTAAACTTCAGTTTACTAATACACTGATAAACTTATACCCAGGTTTCACCTTTGTTAATGGTATAAACATGTTTTCCTGTTTGTTTTTAATTATTATTCTGTTTTCTTTCCTTCTGCTTTTTCTCACTCACTTAAACAACACAACTGTCATAAAACAGCAAGTGTGCAAATGAAGAAAGACTCTTAGGCCATTTATCTTGGAGGCTTAGTGATAAAATTGGAGAGATTGGATCTCATGCCCTCAGGAAATAGTCTCCTCCAAAATGTCTTACTCTGAAAAAAATTAGTCTCGAAAACTCATTGTTTAGTTTTTCAGGATGGACGATTATATGGAAATTTATATTTTGAAGGAAATCTGTATTTTTATGAGAACATTCTTCTTCTAAATTTTAGTACTTTTTAAGCTCTTCATTTATAATTATCACCAACAAATGAAGTTTAAATAGTCATTGCATTGTTTTAGCCACTAAGTTTGCCAGTGTTATTTTTAACTTCCTGTTTTGACATGTTGCTTTTAGCTGTAATTAAAAATTATTGGCATCTGTGTTTACCTCTTAGCTTGTATGTACCGTATCTTCATAGAAAAGCTAATTAGTATGTGTAATACAGTACCACTAAATTTGCATTAATGGGAAATTTTCTAACCATAAATATAAATTAATGATAAAAATTCATTTAGTATATTAATTGGTCTATCCTATTATCTTTATATTGTGTTCTTGTAACAAATAATTTTCTTAACTTTTGTCTCTTCATATCTTTGCTTCACCCTGCATATGTGGTTAAGTAGATTGAAGAATTCAGAGGAGGAAAGTTTTTTCCCGTGAAATTTACTAACTGACCTAGGAAAATACTGTATATCATGTGGCTGTCTTACCAGAATAAAATGAAATACCCTATAAAAATGTTTTCTAAAGCAACACATTATTTTTTCTGCTATTAAGTTGGTTTGTTATTCACTATTTGTAGTCTTTCTCTACTTTATTGACTCAGATTACTTAGCATACTACTCCACAGTAGGTAAATGTTACCTTTTCTGTAAATACCTTTCTCACTGCATCCATTTCTTTTGATGTACCTTTTCAGTGTAGGCATGTAACTATTAGAACATTTTTTTTGATTTTATATCTAAAAATATCTCAAACTACCTCATTAGTCTAAATTATCTTATTTCTAAATCAGAGTACTTTAATGGTCTCCTTTCTGTTTTACTCTACTCACCAATGTAACATCAGTAAACCTTAAAGAGTATAAATCACATTGTGCTAGCCACCATTCCCTTCAGTACCCATTGGATTAAATTACTGAGCTTATGTTCCATTTGTTTTTCCTTTCTATCTTACTTATAATATAAATCCTCTCTTGTTTTTCCATTCTATCTTACTTATAATATAAATCCTCTCTTGTTAATACATATTGTTTTTAAATTGAATAGTTACTTATCTTCACTAGCCTGTGAAAGGCCCCTTTCTCCAGTGTGTAAATCATACCTAGATGATTCTGCATAGTTGTTGATGTAATGGTTAAATAAAGCAGCTTTTGTATTTATGACATTCAGCTCAAACATTAAGTACTTGCTGTATGCTAGTCATTATGCTAGATAATAATGGTTATACAAATCTGTAAGTTCTTGTGTCATTTCCTCTTCTGATTTATTTTTAATAAAATGTTGCTATAATTGATTTAGGCAAATAGTGTAGTATGGCAGTGACTTTCAAATTGTTTGAACACTTAAACCTGGCTCCTATAAAATAAGAAAGACTGAAGTGATATGCTCACCAAGGCCAGCTGGACTATGGCTGAAAAAGCATGGGATAAAACCGGACTCTCTGAATATGGCGGACAATGAGGGCTTCTGAGAAGCCAAGGACAATGGCACTGGGTTTTGATTCTAATTCATGTTCTGGCTTTGTGGGAGCCTAGCCAGTTTGGATGTTCTCCTTCCTAGACCAGGATGGAGGGGGGAGGACTTTGGACTTTCCACAGGGCAGGGAACCCTGACTGCTCTTCAGACTGGAGAGGGAGGGGGAGAGGAGTGGTGGGAGGGGGAGAGGAGTGGGGGGAGGGGAGAGGAGTGGGGGGAGGGGGAGAAGAGTGGGAGGCTGGGAGGAGGCGGAAAATTTTTTTCTCAATAATAAAAAATAAATAAATAAAAGAAATAAAAAAAAAAGAAAAACTGAAGTGGTTTATTTATCCTTGGCTTAACTTGCTTTAAATACTACATTGTTAATTCACTTTACTTTTTGTTCATACACAGTTGGTATTCCCTTGTTTATAATATTAGCTTTTTTTCTATATCTGTTTCTCATTTTTCTTATAGGCATAAACTAAGGTAAAATGCTTTTGTAAGATAATTATAATTCAGTGTCTTGATGTTCTACTCTTCATTCCTTTCTTTATGATCTAACTTTTATTTGTCAACAGTGTTGTTGATCCAGCAAGGTATTTGCTTAAGAATTTCCTAGAAGCAAATTGGAGACATCAGTTCCCTCCCTCCCTCCCTCCTTTCCTCCCTCCTTTCCTCCCTCCCTCCCTTCCTTCCCCTACCTTCCCTCCCTCCTTTCCCCCACCCTCCCTTCCTTAAGATGACCTACCTTTGAAATCTGAAACATGTTTTCAACTCCCCATATGTTAAATAATCCCTTCTAGTTTTCTTTTTACAAATCACGGTGGGAATTTGATTTTTACAAATAAAGAACATAATTGGAGAAATACTTTAATTTTTGTTTGTTTGTTTGTTTTATGTACCTTTTAAATTTTTATTTATTTATATGTTTTACATCCCAACTGCAGTTCCCCCTTCCCAAGTCCACTCCTCCTCTGTTTCTGTTCAGAAAGGGGCAGGCCTCCCATCTGTATGACAAAGCATGTCAAGTTGCCATGAAACTAAGCACCACCCTTTATATTAAGGCTGTACAAGGCAACCCAGTATGAGGAATAGATTCCCAAGAGCCAGCCAAAGCATTAGGGACAGCACCTGCTCCCATTGTTAGGAGTCCCATAATAGGACCAAGCTACACAACTGTAGTATATAGAGAGAGCCTAGATCTGTCCCATGCAGGTTCCCTGGCTGTTGTTTCAGACTCTGAGTTCCTAGGAACTACGTTATTTGTTTCTGTGAGTTTTCTTGTGACATCCTTGACCACTCTGGGTTCTATAATCCTTCTTTCCTCTCTTTATCAGACTTCCCCAAGCTTAACCTAATGTTTGGCTTTGGGTCTCTGCATCTGTTTTTATCCGTTACTGGATGAAGGTTCTCTGATGACAGTTGGGGTAGTCACCAACCAATCTGATCACAGTTCAGGATGCACATTTATATTGCTAGAAGTCTTACTTGGGGTCATCCTTTTGGATTTGTGTGAGTTTCCCTCACATCAAGTTTCTTCCTAATGCCAAAATGTTTCCCCTTTCAAACATCTCTTTCAGTACTGACCCATTCTACTCCCCCAACCCGATCCCTCAAGTTCCCATCCCCACTCACCGCCAGTCCACCCAGGAGATCTCTTCTAGGGAAAGTACATTCTTTTTATGAAATATGCTTGCATTTTAAAACTTACTTGAAGCAAAATGTTTAAGACCTATAAAATGAATATTAAAAAGTATCAAGCATAAAAGATGTGATTTTGCACTGTTACTTTTTTGCAGTGTGTAATTTAGAATTAAATTGTGTATCCCGTAGTTCCTTTTTAAATAACTGACTGTTAATAAGAGAGTTTATTTTACTATCCTCACTGAATTGTGTTTTAATGTCTCCCTGAATAAAGTGTATAACTGTGGAAATACTAGCTTAGTTATGCTATAGTATAAGCTGGTAAGCCATTTCTTTTACGGGAAAAACCAACATACTTAATTTTTTCACCTTGAATAATTTTATAGCATTATTCATATCATTTAATTAAATATGAGTGAGTTCATATGAATTTTTATCTTCTACCCCTCAGAATTAAACTAATAATTTGAACTTTGGGTGTCGTGGTGGAGGGGAGGCTAGGCCTTAGAGGAAACATACCAGTATATATTAATACCGCTTTTTTATGTCTCAGCAGTATCTTCTGGTTTCTGAAAATGCTGACAGTGTTGTGTGTTTAGTACTTGTGACATGTATTTATAGTTGTCTTTCTTTTTAGGATGAAGTGGCACACACTCTTACTGAAAGCAGAGTACTAAAGAACACCAGACATCCATTCTTAACAGTAAGTGCTTAGAGAATGTTGTTAGGACATTGTAAATTTAGGGAGATTTTATTATTGAATGAAACTATGACAGTGTTTTAAGTAATATTTACTTAGTTGTACCACATTCTTTATGACAGAATGTAAGTTCAATTTGTTTGAAACTGTTGAATGATGTGAACTAAGTGTATAATTTGTATAGAATGCATTTATATTTCTTCCCATTGTCTTTGTACAATTTTTTAAAAAACTTTCTTTCTTCTCATAAATCTCTCTGATTTAAATATATATCCACAGACCAAGCAGGTCTCCTCTGGCGTTTTAAGTTCACTGATAAAATGGTAGACTTTTAAAAGCTTATTTTGTTTTTTAACAGTTGTGCAATCCAGGCATATAGCTCATGACTGTAATATTAGTACTGAGGAGTCTGTGACAGGAGGCTCTCCCCATGTTCGAGGCTAGCCTGGGCTTCCTAGTGAAATCTAGGGTACCTGGGTTACAGGGTCAGACCTATCTCAAGAAAAAAATCAAATGAAGATTTTACTTTTTATTTTTTTGTTTGCTGGCTTCATATAAACATTAAATTTACCACATAGTATGGTCTTCAGTTTTCAAAGGTCAAAATTTTAAATGAACAGATTTAACAGAAATAAGATCCCTTTCATGATAGAAATACAGGGAGTCCTGCCGTGTTTTCTTCATTAGAGAAAATATGAACCTTGACTTAATTCATGCAGCATGTTTTTAAACAGACTATTTTACATCTAGTATGGGATTCTATATAGTAGAGGATAGTTTATAAAGTTTCTCTATGTTCCATACTATACCAAGCATATTAAGATTAAAATAGCAACTATTGTTTAAAAGTAGAACTTTTATTAACGTTTTAAGGCTAGCTAAAGTAAATATTTTCACAGTTACCAATAGATTCTGGTCTTTGCTAAAGTGTTTCTTGTCTGTTTTGTAATATAGTAACATTTTAGTATATTCTTATTACTTAAAGAGTTATCTAGTCTGACCTTCCTGAGTTCGGCTGGGTTTTAACCTCAGTATATACAAAATAACACTGACACGACATTGATCATATTGAATAAAAGCAACTGTGTTCCTGTGGAACTTTTCCTAGAGTTCCTTGTAGAGACTGGGAGATGAGAACTAGAGTACTGAGTACTAAGTCAGTCTCAGGTGGCACAGCAGGTTGAGAGTGCTCACCTCCATTACTAATTTATTTTTACCGTATTTCTTAGAAAACATTACAAAGTAAATATACTCTTAAAGAACAATACTAGTCCATTAATTATGCTCACTACTTTCAAGTGCTCTATTTTTGGTACCATTATACTTTTAAGACTATAGGATTATAATTAACATTTTTTTTCTTTTTTATTTCAAGTCCTTGAAATATTCCTTCCAGACAAAAGACCGTCTGTGTTTTGTGATGGAATATGTTAATGGGGGAGAGGTGAGTCAAGAAGTCAATCTAGCATTTGCACGGACTATTTTCTTGAAAGTATTACAAGCAGTGTGAGTTATGATGGTTCTCACCTTGACGGGTTTGCCTAGTTCTTCCTTTTGAGTAAACAAAAGCTGGATAGCTTCTAGTGGGGTATTGTGGTCACTGGAAAGCATAATCACTTTCCTTATTTTACTATATTTTGAAACATAAAATATTTTACTACAGTGTGATTTTTTAAAAAGGGACATAGTTCCCTTTATTCATTGATTTTAGATTTATTTTATGTATGAGTGTTTTGCCTGCATATGTTGGGCCTGTGCAGCATGTTTGTGCTTAGTGCCCACAAAAGTCAGGAGAGGGTATTAAATCTTGTGGAACTGGAGTTACAGATGATTCTGAACCAGCATATGGGTGCTGGGAACCTAGTTCTCTGCAAAAACAAATTCTCTTAACTGTTGAAATATTTCTTGAGTCCCAACAGTATGAGTTTTGAAATTATATTAATAAATTGTGGAACTATAGATACATAGTTATTTAGTTTTAGATAGTTTTTCGAATAAGCCTGTGAAACTTCTAAAAAGTTTTTTAACTTATTTTGAACTCAACCAAACAATATTTTACATATATATATATATATATTGCAGCTGTGCTTTTTCCCTTGTATATATGTAGTGACCAAGATGATAATCGAGTTTTAATAGATCTTACACTTTTGGAGAGAAATTAAGTCGTTTCACTTGTACCTTTCCTTTATTTTCCTTTCTGTTTTAAATAAAATCAATGTGAAGAAAAAGTGAAATGAGCAGAAACAGTAACTGGAAATGCTTTACATTGTAAGCTTTCTGAAATGAATGTATTAAAAGAAGCTTGTATCTTGTAGACTTAAGTCTTATTTCCCAATCAAAATAAATACCTACTGTGGAATAGTTTTCATAAAGATTATCTGGTATATAGAAGTTACTGTGTTTGAAAATTTCATTCACTCACTCGGTGAATATATTTTGAGTGTTTAGACAGTACAGATTTTTCTGAATGTGTTAAGACATTGACTTTTCTATGAAAGAGTATATAGTTTCTTTCATACGACATGCAGGTGTATAGAGTTTCTATTGTGAGTATATTATCAGTTAGAATATCTAAGCTCTAAGTACAAATAAATTTATAAAAGACAATTCATTAAAGATGGACTCTGAAGGAGATTATTAGTGGACTGTCTAAGCTGAAGTGGCTCTTTAGGAAGAGATGATAGCGTCTCACTGGAGGGTGAGCACCGAGCAAAGGAAGCTTGAGCAGTAAGATAGTAATGACCCAAGCACAGAAAACTTGGAACTTCAATTAGATGCCCATGGAAATCTGAAGAAGATGCATGGTTTGGAGCTGTGGAACTGGTATCTTAAGAGCTAGTTTGTTGGATGTGGGTAAAAAACCTTTATTGTAAATATCCATACATAGTTTATGTTGTAATCATGTGAAATTAATGGATATACTCAAATTATGAAAAAAGTTTTTAGAGTGAGACTATAAAATTGATTTTTAAACATTTTTTCCTTTTTGAAATGCTTTTAAAAATAACTTGGAGATTATATCTGTTGAATTAGAAAGTAAAGAACAGATTTGCAAGCTCTTCACCTAAAGGTTGTAATTTTACTTGTAGAGGTGGAAATTAAATTAATGAAACCTCCATGTTGGTACCAGTCAGAATTTAAAATATACATACTATTGGAGTCAGTGTGATATTCAGTTCTCAACGTGTTGAGATCTAGATTTTCCTGAGATACAGGCCTCTTGGCATGTCTGTGAAGGCTATCTTAAGTTAACTGAGGTGCTAAGACTACTCTGTGAGTAGCACTGTTCCCTGAACTATATAAAAAGAAACTGTGAACAAATAGAAACATTCATCATGTATCACTTTCGACTCTGAACTGTGGTTCTTTGTGACTGGCTGCCTCCAGCTCCTGTAACTTCCCTGCCATGATGGATTATATTCTTGAACTGTAAGCCAAAATAAGCCCTCTCCCCCTTTAGTTGCTTTTTTCAGTGAACAACTTGAAAAGTAACTGAGACACTCAGCAATTCCATTTCCAGTAATTGTAATTCCAAAAATAAAGATAAATGACCAAATGGTATGTGAATAAATACATTTGTTGTACTAGTATGGTGTCTTAAATGAACATTCAGTAAGAATGCTGATTAAGTATGTCAAATGTTGCAAGAGGAGATAATACAAAGCATGCTACTATTATGCTGAGAGAAACAGATCATGTACATGTTAATATCTCATTATTCACTGAAATTTAGAACTGATCAAAAATTATGTACATGTGAATATCTTATTATCCACTGGAATCTAGAACTGACCAGAGATCTTGTAAATGTGTATGTATGAGTATCTCATTATCCACTGGAATTTAGAACTGGCTATATAGATTATATATGTGTGTACAGTGAATTATCTCATTAGCCACTGGAATTTAGAACTGTCCTTGTGACTGAGTAAAGGGTGGAAGGAAAGTTTAATTTTCAGTTGTGTATTCTTTTGTAACTTTTCATATTATAGATACTGTGTATTTAATAATTAAAAATAAGCAAATGAACAGATGACTAGGGAAGAGAGTGATAGAAAGGAAATGATAATCTGTGTAAAACTTAGAGCAGCATTGAGTGCAGTGCAGGCCACAAATAAGCATCTGTATAATTAATTCTTAAAGTCTAATAATATTGCTACTAATATGCTAAGACGACTTTTAGTAATTTAGCTGCTATTAAATTTAAATGAGAAATAGAAAAATATCCCCAGGAGAATTTGTAATTTTTGGAAACTAAGGTAATACCAAATTTCGTAGAAGTCTCTCCTTAGATCTTTTTGCAAACTGTCTTCAGTTTTGTATGTCTTAAAGCCTCTAAACTGGAATCCTGTGATCTCTCACATGCTCAGATTTCATGGGAGCTGGAGATTAAAAGCATGGTAAATCATGTGGACCTGTTAGGAATCTGATAAATTCTTACTGTTCTCTTATATTCTTTCTGTGGGTACTAATGAACCTACCATTTCCATTTTTTACTACTCATGCCTGCTAGCACTTTGCACAGTCTGTATTAATGTCTTTGATAAAATTCATTTTAGTTTTTATATATGACTTTCAGTTACATGTCATCCTTGAGATCTTCTCTTACTTATTCAGATTTCTCATTATTTGGCTGGCATTTTCTTTTCTGTGAACCAAAATCATCTCATTTTAAATTCACAGAAGACAGAAGTGCCGGCAGTCAGCATTTGAATTCTACTTACTAATTTGTGGAGGTGTGATTTGGGTGATTTTTAAGTTAGAAGTATTTTAGATTCATGGTGATGCTTTTAAAACTTGATTTTTTTTACTAAATTTATGGTTATATAAATATCTTTATTACCAGAATCTGAGTTATTAAGCTTTATGTAGTTTATGTCACAATTTTGTTGCCTTCATCCAAATCTTTTTTTCATACCAAGAAAGTTACATTGCAAAATTCACATTAACATCTAAAGTTCAAGGCAAAATAAACTTTATTTTACATGCTGTTTTATGATACGATTTTATAGTATTTGATGTCCAGTTTTCTAAAATCATTAAACGATCATAAGAATTCAATTCAAGTTAACAGAAGACTTGACAAGTCTCATTGTTTAAAATGGTTAGCTGCCTAGAACTATAAGCAATGTCCAGGAAGCCCTCAGTTTTCATGATTTCTATGCATGGGGTCAGTGGTATAGAATGCAGTTTCGTAGTAACTAACTTCTTAAACGTTGGTTTCCTCAGAGTGACCCTTTTAAGGAATTGTAAATAGAGAGAATTTCTCTCTCCCTCTCCCCCTTTTTTCTTCCCCTCTACCCTACTTCTGAGGAAGGAAAACAGAAAAATGACAAAAATGATATTTACATTTTTAAAATATGGTCCTAAAACACAGTGCACAATGTTTTGTATTCTGTATATTTCACCTACCAAAATTCTTTAAAACTCCTCTAGGATTATGGCATGTGCTAGTAGTTTATTTCAGTTTGCAGGGTTGCTGCATTGCAGTCATATATATTTCTCAGTGTTTGCTATAGTCATAAGACAGATGTCAGAGTTCTTAGCAGTTTGGAGTTATTACATAAATAACTGTGGTGAATATTACAGAACAAATCTTCATGAGTTTTTATTGTTTTTTTAGTTATGCGTATTTTAAAAATAATGAATTTATTGTAACATCTGTAATTCTTATTACATTTTAATTTATTTTGTGTGTATACATAGCACCTGTGTAGGGGTCAGAGGTACAACTTTTGTGAGTATATTTCACCTTGTAGAGCTTCAAGAGCGAACTCAGTTTACCATGTTGACTCCTGTTGACTTTACCTACTGAGCCACCTTTCCAACTGTTAGGACATGTTCATGTATGAATTGGATGATTGTGTTGTCTTCTCCCCACCATTCACCATATTGTATCTTTTTCCTCATACTGGTCTTTCTCCACAGACATCTACTTCTAGGTTTGTTTCCTTTTAAATGTTGAGAGAAAACGTGCAATATTAGAAAATCTCCAGTTCTTCCTATTGACCGAATAATATTACATTGTGTATGTATGTGACATTTCTATTCATCTCTCAATGAGCATGTAGACTTATTATGTTTTAAACACTATGACTTATTCAACATTAAGTATGAATGTGTGAATTATCTTTGTGGTGTATTGGCTTTTGTACCCTATAGTGGGTTAGCAGGGTCACATGATGGTAGTTCTACTTTCAGTTTTTTGAAGAATTTCTGTTCCCATGGTGGCTGGACTGGTGTGCATTCTTCTTTCCCTGCATCCTCTGTGCTTTCTTGATGATAGCTATTCTTTCTGGAGCTAAGAGGACTCTGCAGTTTATGTGTATACTTTCTGACTAATAAGTACAACACGTTGTCATTTAGTTATTAGGTCTGTCTTTTCAGTTCTTTTGTCCATTTCCTAATTGGATTATTTTCTCCTTTGCTACTTAGTATTTC